ACACACACACACACACACACACACACACACACACACACACACACACACACACACACACACACACACACACACTCACTCACTCACTCACTCACTCACTCACTCACTCACTCATTCACTCACTCACACTCACACACACACACACTCACTCACACACTCACACACACACACACTTACTCACTCATTCACTCACACTCTCTCTCACATACACACACACACACACTCACTCACTCACACACACACACAGCTGCGGCACCGGCGATCAGTTGGGGGTCCGGTTCTTGCTCAAGGGTCTCTCCTCAGTCGTGGTATTGAAGGTAGAAGAGAGCGCTGGTCATTCACTCCTCCCACTGACAATTCCTGCCGGACCTGAGACTCAAACCTGCAACCTTTAAGTTACAAATCCGACTCTTTAACCATTAAGCCACGACAGCCCCGCAAATATTAACAGCATCATAAAGAAATGCGTGAGCTGGAGACTGACACTCCTCACCTAAAATCCCCCTCTGAACGTGTGTGTAGTTTGTTCAGTGTTATTAAAGTGACTCGGCGTCTGTTTCGCGTCTCCATTCATGTCTGCAGTGAGGTCGGACTCTTGGCACATTGTGTTGATCTGTGTTTGTAAGAATGGAAACAAAATGGATTTTCATGTTGATGTAATTAGTATGAATAATTTATGAATTATGGATTGGTCAGTCTAAAGAGGTCACATGAGGTTTCAGTGTTTTCCTGTCATTGAGAGTGTCAGCACTGCCACACATAGGGCTGCAATCATCAGTAACTGACTGCGCTGCGCTGAGCTGAGCTGCATGACGTACGTCCGGCTCAGTAGTGTCCGCTTATATGTGCTCACAATGTGCCTTTGTTGTGTTTGTGTAGTTCTGTTGATAAAGCTTTATTGGGAAGGTGAAGGAAAAATGTATCTGTTTTTAATGCATTGTTGTGCAAAAAGCACCCTAGTTACAGTAAAAGCACAGAGAGAGTATTTATAAATTGAATTCATATGTGACATGACATTTAACAAAAGTAAAGTCATTGCAATTGTTGTAAGATAGAATTTCAGAATACATGAAACTAACAGCTGATAATAAAACAGGGAAACCAGGGCTTAAATACACGAGAGATAACAAGGAAACAAGGGACACATGGAGACAATCAAGGGCAACGAATTAGAAAAGAAACTACAAAATGACTACAAACTGCACAGCAGACTCAGGAGACAAGAACTACAGCAGTCCAAACGGAAACAGCTAAATCAGGAGCATATCCCTGTTGGAAAAACAGCACATGCTGGTTAGGGATGTTTTGAAGCATGCCAGCTGGTTATGAGCTGGTTTACGCTGGTCCTAAGCAACTAGCTCCTGCTCATAACCAGCTCAAACCAGCTGCCATGCTTCAAAACATCCCTAAACAGCATGTGCTCTCTTTCCAACAGGGATGACGGTCATCAGCGGATGAAACACTGTTAAAGGGATAGTTCACCCAAACATGAAGAATCATTTTCTAGAGTTGCTCCAAACCTGTATAATGTTTCTGTTTCTGTTGAACACAAAAGATATTTTGAAGCATGTGTGTAACCAAACAGTTACTGGCTCCCACTGACTTCCATTTTGAGTTGATCAGCATTGGTTAACAACCCTGAAAGCTACCAGCAGTCGTGCCTGTGGATAATGCACACTTTCTGTTTTCGATAGGAACTGCTGCTTTGCACATGTGTGTGCTGATGTGAGTGTGTTGTGTTTGTTGCAGCCGGCGGCAGGTTGCCGGAGTGTGCGGGCTGCAGACAGCGCATCTGTGATGAGCAGTACCTACAGGCCCTGGACACGGACTGGCACACGCTGTGCTTCAGGTAAGAGCTGCGCTGCGTCTGGAGGAGCGATCCGTCAGCGTGACAGGACACTGTTGTTCTGACTCTGAGTTTGCATATCACCAAAGCTGTTTGCATTGCTTCCTCTCAGTAGGCTGCTGCTACACAATCTGCACGACTACCACAAGACTTTTTCTTTTACCCGAGATGTGAATTTAGAGTTCAAATGATCAGATAAAAAAAACTCTGTACCACAAAGTAATGTTAAGATCTTCTTTGTATTGAGTTGTCCCGATACACAAGCTGCCATACAGTGCAACACATGACTCTGAGACGCTTGTCACTGACGCCGTCAGAGCAGAACTCAAAAAAGAGAAAGTCCAGAGAAATGTTGATTATAAATGCCATTCAATAAGAAATGAATTCCATTTGATACCATGTTTATCAATAAAATGAACAAAATAAATGAATATAAATGGGTTCGTTTTAATAACCCGAATGTTTGTGTGCTTATTAGAGTAAGGCATTGTTAGCTTGAGTTTCCTGTCATTTATTTTTTTCTTCACTCACTATGTAGGCAGCACGCAGCGGTTTAAAACAGCACTAGTGTGTTCTTTTGCTCTGCTCGTGTATTTTATTAAACCTTGAAAAAACCTAAAAAGACAAACTAGTGCTGAGCGACTCATTTCTTGCCCTAGCATTGGGAGTAAGACGCTTACAGGACAGATAAGCGGCCTTTGTTTGGGCTTTTTCTTTATAATTGCTTCTTTCCCAATAATCCATCAGGCTGTTGTTTGGTCAGCTGTTCGTCTGTGCCGACGACGAGAATCACATGATTCAGCACATGATAGTGATCGGTTCCTTCTACCAATCACTGGAAGCTGTTTGTGTCACATGATCCCAGGTGTGTGGAGGCCTCTATCTGAGCGCAGAGACTCTTCACAACGTTCTGCTGTGCTCATGTGCCAGTCACAGTCATGAGGCTTGTCGAAGCCAAACACCTACACATTGCGAAACACACACACAACCCACTCACATGTTCTATTCTTTATTCTAATATTTGACTAGTCTGAGTGGATCTAACAGGAATAGTCATGCTAGATGCCGTCTGATTCGCTGGCTTTAAGCAATATCTGCACAGGATTTCAGAAGTTTGTTGGGAAACTGTGTTTTCAGGGTACCAGGCTCATACTATAATAACACTTAACAACAAGTAATATATATATATATATATATATTATTTTGTTGTAATTATGTGTGATGGTAGTATTTTTTAAAATAAAAATATTACTTAAAATTAGTTAATTATTAATGCTATTAAATAGTACATAAAAACATTAGCGTGTATTCTTCAAATATTGTTCAATTATGCAAACATTGCATTAAAAAGATCAATTGAAAGTAATTAAATAACAAAGTAACATTACACAGAATAAGTGGCAGGTCTGCTGCACTTACACTGCAAGATGTAATGCACAGATCTGTTTTGCAGCATGAAAAATTTAACTTTTATTTAAATTATGAATGCCTTATACACAGAAATCAAGCAAAAAACGCTTCATAATCAATGAAGCTGATATCACTCAGAGGTAGATGAAGTACACAAATCAAGTACTTGAGTAAAAGTACAGATACCCTAATAAATATTACTCCAGTAATAGTATTAAGTACTACTAACAGCTGCAATCCGCTCAATCCAGTTTGCGAATGAATGGTTCAGTGTGATTTGTGAAATGATTTAACAGGCTCATTGAAAAGAATCAGTTTGTTCACGAATCGGACACCGCTATCACATCTCGTGTGTGACGATTTCTCAACAAATAACATCGTTTTTATGAAATGTAGTGGAGTAATAAGTACAATATTATGATTTGGAATGTAGTGAAGAAAAAGTAAAAGTTTCCCAAAATAAAAATACTCCAGTAAAATACAGATGCTTTGAAAATTGTACTTAAGCACAGTAACGAAGTAAAAATGCCACTGATATCACTTCAGCTCACCGACTGTCTGAAAACTTCCATTATAATCAAAAATCTGTCTATGCTGCACTATTAATCTCATATTTACATTGTGTTTAAACTGAAACGATCCGCGAGCACAGAGCTGACCCTGAACAAACTCAGTGTATTGTGTGGATTCTGACCTAAACGCTTCTGATTGGTCATTGCATTCACACGCTCAACAAACATGTCTGTGATTGGACGCTGCAGAAACGCGGTGTAAATAGAAACCATTGATGCTCTTCACACAAATACACACGAGAGCGTTTGAAAGCAGCTGCTTATCAACGGGTAACGGGTTATGTTTTTAATATTTAAGTATCGACTTGGTACCGAAGTACTGGTGCTTTTGAAGTCAGTCATTTGGATTAAAAACTGATGAAGTGTTTTCCAGCCGTTTATGAAGAGTGCTGGTCATGTTTGTCTGGATCCGAGCTCAAGCAGACAGTCAGAGTCCGTGTGTGGAACGCCTCGCCGCGTCATCTCTTCCCTGACAACTTTGCTCTTGTTTTCTGGTGTGTCGTATTGCAGTCGGTCACTGAGTCACAAAGCTTTAACCAAATGCAGAAGCTGAACTTCCCTATAGTACTGAAACAGAGATCTGCAGACCTCGTCCTCATGTGGGATTTTCCATCACGTCTTTCATTGTCCAAGCACACTTTAATCCAGCGGATGGAGGATCAGTTCTTATTTGCATCCTCAGAACAGTCCAGATCCGCTTAGGTACCCGTGACTGAGCGAATGGCCGGATGTGTTTGTGATTGCCAAAGACTCGGTGCAATCACGACGTGAGCGTTAGGCTGTCTAATCATCAGCTCTGATCACGAGGGAATAATTGCATCAATGTGAGGTGATTAGCTGTGTTGTGTTTCATATGAGGCGATTTTTGCGGTCTGCCTGCAGCCTGTGTCAGCTGAGAGACCTGCGCAAATTACCCAGAGTTTTGGGTTTTACACTTTCATTTGCTCTTTTGATTTCATTCTGTCAGAATCTTGCAAATTCCAAATGTTTGAGGCAAATATCTGATGCAAACAGCAGTTAAAGACTCTGACAAAGTTTAATAAAGCGTCACACAAAAATGTGCTGAATGCTTTAAATCTATTTGTGTGAATTTGCCTGACTCTGTGCACTTGTGTTATGATCCTTATTATTGCACCAAGCAGGATTTGTTCCTGGATCAAAGTCTGTGTTGGTCAAGAACTTTGTTCATCACCAGGTTTAGTGAGAGTTAAGGCTGGAGGCTTGTGTAATATTTTTGGTGACTTTTGTCCTCCCTGTGATTTTAGGGATTGTTGATATTAGGGTTGGGGATTTCATTAACATCATGACGACTCACTCATGTGACTGTCAGCTAAATGTGGATTCACAACACAACTCCACTATCAGGAACAAAGCTTCTTAGTCCTGGAAAAACATTCCTGTTTGTCAGGTTTTAGGGACGGATTTGAGGGCTTGAACAGCATCCCTGGGGATGTGCCATTTCCCTCAGATTGGTGAGGCCAGGTGGTTAGTGGTTAGGGGTTGGTTAAGCAATATAAGGTATAGAGAACATGAATGTTGTCCCAGGACCAATAAAACAGTTTAGATCCAGAGACACTGGCACGTCAGCAAAAGCATTTCCATTGGGTTTGGAAATTGGCATGATAGTGAACCGAGTTTGAGCTGCCGAGACGGAGGACACTTGGCACGGACATCAGGTCCGAGGGAAAGAGAGGACTGTGGGTTTTTGGAGATCTGTGGCCTCAGCTGTGAGCAGAGAGAGGCAGAGGTTGAGTAAAGAGGTCACTCTGTCCCCATATGTGAGCCAAACCTCGACTAGGTGCATTTAAATACAGGAAATATATGCAAAAAATGGATTTAGTCAATTTTTTTCGCTTTTCTGTTTCAGTTCTCACTTTAAATATCAGTTCAGTTTTTTTCTCTGAGGTATAGTTCTGGTGGGATTGTAAGTCATGGAAGGGGTTGAAGGCTGTCATTGCAGACTAAAGCAAATCAACCACTGCCTTCCAGACAGACACAAGTGACAATGAATGAAGAACGTTGGTGGAAAACAGCTTTGTGCCCTGGTTTATTTGGAGAGCTGTAAGTTGTCCCTTGGGTGGGAAAACACAGTTTTCCTTGGAAGACATAAACAGAGCTTTAATTTCATGGGAAAATAGCTCTGATGCAGAATGCTGTGTTCCCCAACTCTCAGCAGGGGCCAAAATCACTCGACTTCACATGAGAAACTAGTCAGAGCTAATGAAGAAAAAGTGGGCATTCATAGCGTGGTTTAATACAGCATCCATCGCGCTGAAGACATCAGATGAGAGATATAATAAAAGCGTTCCGAGTAGTTTCTAGAGTGACTTTATATAGGAGATTATTGATGGGATATTGGGTGACTGATCGATGCGGCTCGGCTGCCAGCTGATATTCAGGATTGGAGTTTTGTTCTAACCCTAGAATGAGCAATAATAATGATGATGCTGGACTTAGCCAACACCAGTAATGCAATCTTATAGCTGGCTTTGTTAGAGCGACTGTTCCACACACACTAACAGCCCAGACCAGTTCATTATTCCCAGCATTAACCTCTCACCTTAAATCAGCTCCACATGTTGTAGTCGCTAAACGCATTACAGCTAGAATACTTCCAGTGTTTTCCAATGACATAATGATCTTTCTGACAGCGGCGTTCCCCTCGGAGCCCTGCTTCCTCCTGAGCTTTCTTTCTTACTTTCAGGGACTTCTTCTCTGCTGTCGTCGCCTTGTTTTTGTTCCCAAAAGGGTTTCAGACCAAATCTGCTCTGTAATGCTGCTCTGTGGTAATTGCCATAGTTAAAAACAGCAGCATGTAAATGAATTGATTTTCCATCCGTGCTGCTGGGAAAGTGCAGTGAGAGATTCAGGGACCTGGTAGAGTCGATCCATCAGTCATATGGAGAGGCTTCTCAGTGAGTCAGCGGTTCATCATCATCACAGGAGGTGAGGCCGCAGCGCTAGAAATAAAGCATCAGGATTGAAACCCTAAAGCCATCATAGTAAGATGATGATGATGAT